CTAAACCGTGTTCATAGCCCTTGTTTTTGTTTTTAAAAGCCCCTACTTTTCTACTTTATCACCCTTGATTTTTTTCTTCCTCTTTGGCCAAGAATTGCTTATAGCTTCCTCCAGGCCTCAGGGCAGTGTCTCCTGGCAACCCCCCTCCCCTCCCCCCCCCCTCCCCAGCCCACCCCCACTCCCGCCCTGCCGTGCCCCCCCAGCAGGACTGCCATAACAGCAGTGGCAGCTATTGCTACCAAGAAAGCTGATGCAGCCTCTGGCTCTGGGAGCAGTTACTCCCACTTCACTCTATTCTGGAGTTTAGGGGTTCCTTCTACCCATACGTTGTAGGAGGGACACTGATAAACTGGGGAGCTGGCGGAGGACAGTAGTCAGGCTCATAGAGTCTGGAAACCTGAAGGAAGGCCCGGTGAACCTGAGGCAGCTGAACCTGGGGGAGGACGTGGGGTCTGTCTTCAAATAATTAAAGAACATAAATTAGACATGCTCTAAATAGTTCCTAGGATAATACTGGCACCTATGGAGGGGATGAGTGAGTTGTAGAGAGCCAAATTTTTGCTCAATATATGGACGTTTCCTCCCTAATAGTTACAGCTATCCAAAGGCAGAATGATCTATTTTATAAAGAAATAAAGGCCTGTTTCACTTAAGGCTCCCTTGCAACCCAAACAGTCTATGGCAACAAAGTTTCATCTTTGTCTAGGTTAGAGTACCAACACAGGACACGCTGCCATTTGACTCCAAGGGTGGACTCTTGTTGATGATATGAAGTCCCATTACTATTGTTGCAAAACCGTGACTCACACAACTATTCAAGAGACGCTTTAGAGTCAAGTCTTGTCCTTTCAGTAGAAGGAAGATGTGAAATTGTTGGTGCAGCAGCCAAATGATATGTTTATCCATCACCTTTCCAGTGTAGTATATGGTTTATTCTAGTGACTTCATCAGATAGCCATTTTCTCTAAAGCCAGTGTGCATTTAAAGGAGAATTAGTGGGACAATAGCCCACCAGGGACCCCATTGTTCTGGTGGGTTATTTCACGCAGAAATTTTTCTACTTCCAAGCAGGCTGCATCCCACCCACCCCCCTGAAAAAAAGCTCTTGGATTGTTCAGCGCAGGTGACGGTATCCATATGACCTCCACTGACCCTCTTTGTTGTCAGCTGTGGAAGTTCAGAATTTGAAAGTTACACGGAGGAGCTTCTGGTCAGGTTTCAGGTGAGACCATAACCTGGCGGGAAAGGAAGCAGGGATTAAGGAGAGAGATGGCGATTTTTATTCTTCCTGACACTTCTCAGCACTACATTGTGTGGACTACACATATCTCTAAAAGTCACCTCAGGCTTCTATTCTACCCTCAATCAGAGCAGAGGGAGAAAGGAGGGTTCCTAAGCCACAATAGGGTCAGTTGTATCAAGGAAGGGTAAGATTTCCATCCCTGTCCTGATACACACACCCAAGGAGGAAATCACTTCCCTGCTCTTTTTCTCTCCAAACTGCAAAAAAGCCACAAAGCAGCTCTCTTTCCTTAGCTCAGCCACGGTTGGAAGTGCTGACAGCTGACACTTTGAGTAAACCTAAAGGGACTCAAAGCTGACAGGCCCTCTCGCTCACTTTTGCGGGAGAAAATAGTTGACCTTCTAAGACAATGATTTTTGGTAATTTCTTCTCAGTTCACAGCAAGGCACTTATATGTGCAAAGTCAGGATACATCAGACATGTTTATTAGATGCAAACTGGAAATAAGAAATGTCAGGTAAATTATATTTATCATATTTTTTGAAGTCTACCTAGTTCTTTCTTCAGAACCCAGACTGCTTGCTCAGTCAACTCTCTCCTAATCTGTGTCTATTCATGTAGGCTTTATTTAGTCTAAAGCAATGTGAGAAAATATATACAGCAGTGTTTATATTAATATGTCTTAAGAGTCTGGTTTACTCACATAGGGAAGTGCCAGGGAATTCAAATCGCTCTCAGAAAAAAAAGAAAAAAAAAAGAGAGAGAAAAGAAAAAAGAATTGGAGCTGGATCTAAAAGCTGCCGTTTTTGCTTGCCCATTCATCCATCCTGTCCCAGCCATTTCAGCAGTCAGGAAAGTCAAAGAATCTTTTTACTGAGAGATCTTGGAAAAACCTCCTTGCAATGGGGCCTAAGGAGATTTTAAACCTTCTAATTTCCTAGGACTTTTGTATTCGGTTAGTTACATTATTGGGATTCTGACTACTCATAATCAAGAGAGATGCTGGAGACAAAGGAGCAACATAGGAGCAGAAACTGGAGTGGCAGCGCCTTGCAGGTTTGTTTCTTTTTTGATGTCACTGGCGTGCCACACTTCAATTTCCTCTTCTTAAGCGAACAAAACAAAAAAACCTGAGGATTTGTGAGAATTAAATAGCATAATATGTACAAGGCCCTAGCGCTGTGCCTGGCACATGGTAAATGCTCAAAAGCTGTTAGCAGGGGTGCTGGCTCTGTGGCCGAGTGGTTAAGTTCATGCGCTTCACTGCAGGCAGCCCAGTGTTTCGTTGGTTCGAATCCTGGGTGCGGACATGGCACTGCTCATCAAGCCATGCCACAACTAGAAGGACCCACAATGAAGAATACACAACTATGTACTGGGGGACTTTGGGGAGAAAAAGGAAAAAAATAAAATCTTAAAAAAAAGCTGTTAGCAAAGAAAAAAAGGATTTTTCCAAACAGCCAGTCACCCAGAATAAAATACCTCCACTTTATTAGCACAGAATCCTAGAATTCTGTTTCTGAAAGGGGCTTTATGGTATCTAGTCTAGTGGTTTGCTTTTTTTTTTTTTTTTTTACCTTAAGCCAGGGTTCTTTGAACAGAATATTATAAGGAACCTGATGTGTCAAAGAAAAAAAACTAGAGCCAGGCAAATCTCCACCCGTCCCTCCTTCCTTTCCTAGAAGACCCTGAGGCATCCACAGCTTCCAGAGCAGAGTTTGAAATCCAAAAGTCAAGTCCAACTCCACCATTCTACCAGTAAGGGAATGGCCCAGAAATGTGAAGTTGTGTTTTAGTGGTTAAGACCAGACCTACAACCTGCCTTCCTACCAGTTTCCAGCACAGCACATGAGAAAGAATTGACAGGACCAAAACACGTGGGAGTATTTGAGAAAACTCTTACAGAGAAACTTTAAAAGATCTAGAGCTTTAGTTCAAAATATGTGAACTTTCTTTTTCCTATGGCAGATGGTAATCTTTTGAGTGGCCCCTTTCCATTTTCATGTCTATTTTTGAACTGTTTTTCATGCCACTGAAAGCATTTCCTGTTTCACTACCTTCTATCAGCCTTGAGGACAAATAGCAGCTGTGTAGGTTTCCATGAAGTTGGACTAGAAACAACTTCACCCCCTCTCTACCCTCCACCTTAGCCTTCTGTAGTCTCTTCTGATGCCAAATAAAATGCTATGATTTCTAAATGTTTTCACATTTGGGGCATTTTACTTCAACCTCTTGACCAGAGTGTTCTTTTAGGCATATTAGCTCAGTATAGAAATGTAAACATGAAGCTGATCCAATGAAAGTTTGAAGTCAATATATTTTCTTTTTGAGATAAGACTATGTTTGTCCAAACAACCTCAGACTTTATTTGGAATAGAAAAAAGATGTAACATGGTTTTGACGGCTGTGCTATTTCCAAATGTGGCTAGTTTCCTGTTGGGCTATTCACACGTCCTTATGTTCTTGTGGAAAGCTTAAGTCTTTCTGTTTACTTTCAGAAAAGAAGAAAGTTGAGTTGGGGGTTGGGGGATGCGGGATTCTTAATCATCACGAGAGTTGACTCAGTCTCCTGGCACATTCCTCTGCCTGCAGTGCTCTCCTGGGCTCCTAATGCTTGTGTTCATGTCCACCTTCCTTGGACTGGACACTCTGTGGGAGCAGGTGTGTGTCCTTCAATGTTCTCTCAAAGGTCTCCACACCCAACTCACTATCCAACTCAGAGTGGGTGCTCGAAAAATATTTATTGACTCATTATCCAAGAGACTTCTGAGATGTTAGTCAGGCCTGTTGAAAATGACCTTATTTTGGACTCCTATACCAAAGGAAAATACACAGTGTGATAGTATTCTACTGGCTTAAAATATATAGATATATAGTTGAATAAAAAAGGGCGATGAGAACAAAGCTGAAAGATTCCTTATATGGACTATAGCTTTCAGTTTCCAGGTCAGACTGGAGACAAAATGAATTCAGTCACACATACTTGTAAAAATAGTAGGTAATATTTATTGAGCTCTTACTATATGCCAGGTGCAAATCTAAGAGCTTCCTGTCTCATATCTCATTTAGTCCTCACCACAGTCCTAATTAGTAGACTTACCATTACCCCCATTTTACAGATATAGAAACAGAGGCTCAAATCATTGGTCCACAGTGGTGGTAGGATTTGAACGCAGGCAGTGTGGCTCCAGAGCCCGCTTAACCACTAAATGACTGGCTGAGTGGATGAAATGCATGCAGAAGGAAACAATGCTTTCACCATTGTTTCCTCAACAGCTCTTATTTCTTCTCAGGTGACTTAGGTGAAGACTGATGGTCCTACGTTTTCTGAATTTTGGAAAAAGTGGGGAAGGTAGATAAGAGACAGCCATCAGAGCACTAACTGTTTTTCTTTTTGTCCTGATCTGACAGAGAATTTTATAAATCACATTTATTTTATTAACAAGTTACAGTTCCTAGGGCATATTTCTCTTAAGTTACTCTGGGCATGTCCCAGAGTTTCCCCAGGGGATTTTTACCACACCTACATGAGGAGGTTAAAGGGAAACATTATTGCCCCTGGCATAGATGGTTAAACTGAGGAATGATGAGGCGAAGTTGCTTGGCCAAGGTTGTGTTAGTCACCAGAGGGCATTCACCCCTGGCCTTCTGAATCACAGCTCGGTTCATATCCACTGGCAGCACTGCCTCACGGCCCTAACAAGTGGAGTCTTAGCTTCCTGTGAAAACAAAGATGAACCGTCTTGTTCTCTTTTAGGTTTGTGGGTGGCTCCTAGAAGATCTTGATTTGCTCCCAAAGGAATATTATTTTACTGGGTTTGTTTCCTGTCAAACTGTGCCCCCTGGTCAACCATGAACCAGCCAGACCCTGCCGATGACGCGGATCCCAGCCCTGCAGCCCTGTGTGTGGTGTGTGGCCAAGCCCACTCCCCTGAGGAAAACCACTTCTACACCTACACGAAAGATGTGGATGATGACCTCATATGCCACATCTGCCTGCAAGCTTTGCTCGACCCTCTGGACACTCCCTGTGGACATACCTACTGCACACTCTGCCTCACCAACTTCCTGGTGGAAAAGGACTTCTGCCCCGTGGATCGAAAGCCTCTAGTTCTGCAGCACTGCAGGAGGTCCAACATCCTGGTCCACAAGCTTCTCAACAAGCTGCTGGTGACCTGCCCGTTCGTGGAGCACTGCACTGAGGTGGTGCAGCGCTGTGACCTTGAACATCACTTTCAGACCAGGTAGGGCCTCCTCCTTGGCCAACCCTGAGGAGCCCTGCCCTCACAGGGGCAGCTGGAACTCACCTGTCTCCCAAGGGCGGGCTGTCCCCAGTGCCCTGGGTGCTCCACAAAATACCTTTTCCTCTATCTTCTCTGCAACTAATGAAAGGATTCAATCAAATTATGAAATGTTTTAGGTATTGATGGCCGTGGTTCCGTGTGAAGAAAGAGCACGTGGTAGAGTTGTATTGTGTATGTGTGTGTTTACAGGGTTTTTTTTTTATGGTGGTAAAATATACATAACATAAAATTTATCATTTTAGCCATTTTTAAGTGTCTCTTTCAGTGGCATTAAGTACATTCACATTGTTGTGAAACCATCACCAGAACTTTTTTCATCTTCTAGAACTGAAACTCTGTACCCATTCAACAGTTACTCCCCATTTCCCCCACCCCTAGCCCCTGACACCCACCATTGTACTTTCTGTCTCTATGAGTTTGACTGCTCTAGGAACCTCGTATAAGAGAAGTCATTCACTCTTTGCCCTTTTGTGACTGGCTTATTTCATATGTGCGCATTTAAAACGTGAAAGATACTGGAAAGATCTGATGAGCAGCTTCTCTGAGGCCCATGGTCCCCAAAAATATTTCCCGGTGGGCATTGCTTGTCTTTTCACCTATGAAAAAAATATCTCCCAATTTGACCCATGATTATTAGAATTTCCTCTGTATGGGAATTGAGAAATTCGTCCTCCTCCTATTCTTTGAGGAGATGAGGGGTATTTTAAACTAGATTTTAAAAGGAGAAATTTAGAAAACTTTTATCCTTCAAATGACTTATTATACTAAGTTTTCGGTCAAGGTACGCACTTTGGCAGTGGAAGGAAGGTGTGACCGTGTCTCCTGGTGGCCAACATCGCTTGTTCACCTGTCTGACTCTTATTTTGTCCACTTACATTGTCATGTGCTTGGGCATTCATATGTGGATGGCCTCAGGGGCGGTCCTGCGTCTTGTTCCACATGAGGTACTCTCTTGGAACATTTAAGGTGCTTAACAAAGGGTGAGCAGTAATACCACAATTATGTCGTAAGAGGAAATTTGAAAGCTGGTGTTTTTCTTGGTTTCCATCATGACAAGGACAAGAGGCAGGTGCAGGTGTTCTTTCTAAAGGTCACCTATCTCAGGTTGTGAATCTGAGTCTTTGTCTTTGGGGACATGCAGATTCTCTAACATGGAAGGTTGCATCCAAAGCAACGGGCTGGGTGTAATGCTTAGCACGTTTTCCATACTGATTATGTCTGTGAACTCATTTTTCTCCCCAAGATGTTGAGCCAAATGCATCTAACTCGGGTTTGTGGGTTGTCTCTGACCCTCTGTTGTTGTTGGTATTTAGGATGCCCCTCTTCTCTGATTGCCTGGAAGGCGGGGTGGCCAGAGGAGAACGGGGTAAGGGAGTCTATTTGTGACCTTTGCTGAAGCTTTTACCCAGGTAGGAGAGGCGTGGTCTGGAGGAAAGTCATTGAGGGTCAAAGTCAAAGGTGAGATAGGTGCTGACAGGGGCTGGTGCAGAGCCAGGGCCACGACTGGGCCACACTGGGTAGGGGAGGTGAGGAGCATGAGGAGCAGAAATGGCTGTGGTAGAGCTCCCTCCACACACCACATCCTCATGTTCCTGCCATGTTGCAATCTATTCATTTGTGCTTGGGAGATGTATTAGTTTCCTATTGCTGCTATAACAAATGACCACAAACTTACTGGCTTAAAACTATGCAAATGCATTATCTTACAGTTCTGAGGGTTAAAAGTCCACTATAGGTCTCACAAGACTAACATCAAGGTGTTGGGAGGGCTTGTGGCCCATTTCTCCATCTTCACAGCGAGCAGCGTATAATCTGCTAGTATCTTCCCCCTCCCCCGCCTCTGCTTCCATTGTCTCCTTCTGTGCTTCTGATCCTCCTGCCTCCCTCTTGTAAGATGCTTGTGATTACCTTGGATCCACTTAGTGGATCCACCTGGATAACCCAGGATTATTTCCTCATCTCAAGATCCTTAACTTAGTCACGTCTGCAAATCCCTTTTGCCAGGTAAGGTTCTTAGGTTCTGAGGTGGACATCTTTGGGGGAGGGGTGATTATTCTGCCCACCACGGGAGTTTCACGGGGGAGAGGTAAGACAGGAGAGAGAGAAGGAAAGAAGTGGAGGTGTTTTCTGGAAAGAAAGTGAAAGCAGCAGTTCCTCCTCATCCTCTCATGAAGGACTCACTTGGAGCCACGAATATCCCCTAAATAGAGGGATAAGATGGCACACGGATCTGAGGGTGAGGCCAGAACAGAAGTAGGGCAGGGGAAGGGCTGGGAAGAGGCCCTTGGGGACTATGGGGTCTCCAGGAGAGAGATGACACAGCGCACCTCACCTGCACGCCACGGGAATTTCATTCACTGGCCCATGCAGGCTGTGTGACCCACACACCTCAAGGAAGCCGGGGATAAAGCCTTGAAGCAGACTCTGCTGATGATGATGTGCACATTTGAAAAACAACAGTGAGGAAAGAACCCAAAATGAATTGAAATCACCTCTCTGAGCTGTGGCCTGAGAGTCCTTCACAGGCACCCATCAGCAGCTCTCTGTGAGGGGGAAAGCTCCCACATAAAGGAGGTGTTGGACTTGATCTTGAGCCTCTCCACACTTCAGCTTCCTAAGTAGGTTGAAACCAGCATTTCCAAAAATATGTTGTATATGTTAATCATCCAATGCTTAATATACACTTCCTCTCCTCCCCACCCCTGGGCATTTTATTGGCAAGGATTAAGAATTTGGAGCTGTCCAGAGCCTGACTCCAGAGCCCTCTTGGGCCTTGTGCCTGGGCCAGTAGACCACCTCTTGCTCCCCTCAGAAGGGATATGAAGATTAAGAAGGTACTACCTCTGGAGTCCCTTGAACTGGGAAAACTAAGAGGTTCCCAGGAGGCGAGTGTTTTCCTTACATTTCTAGATGAGGCCTCCGGGTTGGTGGCTGCTTGTATGGGAGTGTTGTCATACGTTTGTACTAGAAGATAGCTTTGTTTATACGTTTCACATCTCAGCTTCAGCATTTAAAAATGTAATGAGTTAGGGGCTGGCCCCGTGGCCAAGTGGTTAAGTTTGCGCACTCCGCTGCAAGCGGCCCAGTGTTTCGTTGGTTCAAATCCTGGGCGCGGACATGGCACTGCTCATCAAACCACGCTGAGGCAGCGTCCCACATGCCACAACTATAGGGACCCACAACGAAGAATATACAACTATGTACTGAGGGGCTTTGGGGAGAAAAAGGAAAAAATAAAATCTTTAAAAAAAAAAATGTAATGAGTTAAAAAAATTCTTTGGCTGATGGCACTTTAATGAATATAATCTGGGCAAGCTGAGAGTCTACCTAGTATAGAAAACGTAACCATAATTCTGGTTGAAAACTGCCATGCGACTGACATGGATCCACACACTCCCTTCCAGTGGGTCCTAGAGAGCTAACAGTCCTGTGCTTCGTGGCTAACTCCACACTAAGGTTTCTCCACCTGTAAAATGGGAATTTATTTCAGGTGACTCCTTGAATGCAAAGCTCTAGCAGAAGCACATTTAGAATGTTTCCATTATCCATTTAGAAAAGAACGTGTGTTAGAGAAATATTTTGCCCCTCAGCCAAGGTCTCTGTTCATAGCCTGTCCATAGGGTCATGCTAATAATAACAGTAGACCTGAGTCAGGGATGCTGCTGTTTTCTCCAGAATTCAGGTCATTTGTAAACATTGTTATCTTACTACTCCAGACCCTGAGCTGAATGTAAATCCTTAAGCAAAATGTTTAGGACCAACTGTGGGTAGGCATGACTGGCTGGACCAGCAAGTACTTGGACAACTGTTTCTGACTTCAGACTAGAAAGCTCTTCTATGGGAGTAAATCTGAGCATGTAACTAATGTTTGGAATCTTCTGGCTAATTCTGTTGACTTCTGCCCTCTTAAATACTTGCAGACTTCCATCACCTTGGTGTACTAGAAAGAATCCTCACAGGAGTGAGGGGCTTGTCGAGTCGAATGGCAGCCTTCCTAACCAAGAGACATTATGAGAAGACATAGCCAGGTGCTACAGAGGGCCAATCCACGCCTCTCTGTTGACCATCGCTGAGAGGGTGTGGGGAGGCAAAGCTTTCACTTCCTTGATCCTGAGTGGGAGTTATCTTAGGCTCAAGATTACATCTTCATTATGTAATATCATCATCTGCATATATAATATTTATTGTGGATCCACAATAGGCCAAGCCCTGAGTGAAAGAAAAATCTATACCAGCCGTGATTTCTGCCTCTGAGGAAATGACCTTCTAAAGGTAAAGGAGAGAGGCTGAAATCACACGCACATTGAGTTATTTCATAGGACCTGTGACTTTGCCCTTTAGTTTCTCTCTTATGGAAGATAATAAACATGGGAGATAATAAAGCTGATCCTTCTTAAGTATTGACTAGCATTAAGAAAGAGATCATTGTTCAATGTTTTGAAAACAGCCCCAGGAGAAAATGTGTTGTAATTGGCACACCTGACGGAAGGCTGTCTGGGGTTATTTTCTTGATTAACTTTGCATCCAGTGTCCTGGGAGTTTCTTCTCCAAGGACCTATGCTGGAGCCTCTCTTGACCTTTACTTCTATCGGGGGCCTTTTTCTGTAGTATATTCAGGACAGCACAGGCTCAGCCAGCTGTCTACCGTGCTTAGAAGGTTTTACTGCCAGAGCACAGGTCTAGGCAAGTATTACCTTCTGGAAAGGTGGGTAGGTTACAAGTCATGTTGGTCATTTCAGCCTGGCTCAACAGCCCCACTATAACTGTGCTTTGACAGACATCCTTCATGTGACTTTCCAACCCTGAACCCAACTTTTTCCCAGCCCCTCCCTGGCCAAGAGCCTCTTTGTACCTCTCCTGGGCATGGAAGAAATGAGGCAATTTTTCTGCATCACTTTTTGAGAGAACCATTGAGTTTCTATCAGATTATGCTCCAAGCA